AGACGGCTCAATATCTGTGTCCTTTGGCATGAAGACGAGCGTAGATGAGGTGAACTGATAGGTCGCCGAATTCGATACCAGCGCTAGGCCGTTCAATCTCGGCGAATCAGACCAGGCGTCTTTCCGCCTCGAACTCGACAATCTCAATATTGCGGAGCAGTGATACGGATACTCTATCGCCTGTAGCGTGGGACATGGCAATATGGATTCGAAGATGTGGATGTAAGTGAGAATGCGCATGGCCAGTTGGATGGATCAGCGCCAGAGCCGGGTGCTCCTTGTGAGAGTTCGAGTCGGCAAGGTCGGGTGGACGGGTTGGAAGGCGAAAAGAAGGAGCTTCAAAACGTTCCTCCAAGTGTTCCATCAAAGGCAGAAGTTTGTTACAAGACGTGCGTCAAGTGGCGCCTGAACTCTCATTCTGGGGCGAGCGAGCGGGCGGGCGGGCGGCGAAGGGGACGGACGTTTCTCTTGCATGTGTGAGTGTGTGTATCCGTACTCCGTACTGCGTATGAGTGTGTGAGTGAGTGTGTGTGGATTGTGGAATGCCTTAGCCACAACCCGGCAGAAAGGCGAGACGAGACTGGTGATGGAGACGGTTAGATGGAGACTGACAGGAAACAAAGGAGGCGTGACCCGACTCATCGTCACAAAGGAAACGGAAACAACGCCCACGTACCTCAGGTCACGTCTTGGGAGCGACCTACCACTGCGGTTCAGTACCCGTAGTCTGTAGCAAAGGCTTTTGGTGGTGGGGGGCACGAGAGTTGGCTCCAGGTTGGCAGTGGCTAACTGGATTCCTAGAGGCTGCCGCGATTGACAGACATCGTGGCCCGGCCCCTGGCAAGTTTCGCAAAGCCTCCCAGTTCGATGGACGGGCCGGGGCTAAGCCGTTTTGAGAATATGCATCCACTTTTACAGTCGAAGGCCCTTCCACCCCTTGACTGTATCTCCTTCCCCTTCAGTTTCCTATTGCCTGTTCAGTGAGGTGACGTTGAGATGAGAGGGCCTTCGGTGTCTTCAGGAAAGCACGGGTCAGGAAAGTCTCAGGAGAACGGCAAGAAGTTGCTCATGAGGGAAGGAAAGGGGGTCAGCCGTATCCGTATCCGTACCTGATGGTATAACAGGCCGGACTGACCTGATTTCCTGATGATTTACTCCTGAAAAGTCCCAAGGAGGGAAAGATGGCCGATGCGATGATCCAAATTGCAAAGTGAGAAAATGGACGGTCGGCCGGTGCGATTATTGAATATTGGACATTGACGGGGCCCTCAGGGATTAACCAAGGCTCCCCTGGGATGCCGCGAGAGCTCCCTGTGCGCGCTACTTTTTAGCTCTGGCTCATCACGAACCGTCAGTGGTGACATTCGAGGTACATGCCTACCTTAACTTTTCTTTGCTCACCTCACTGTTCAAGGCATGAAAGAGATGGATGGAGCTTTTGGCAAAGCGAGCCGATATCAGAGTTGACGAATGTCTTCCGCATTGCCCCGTTGTGACTGTGATATGGAATGGCGACTGTTTAACATCGTGAGGATTACCAGTAGAGTTCTACTGTACATCAAATCGGTGCAGATGCGTCTTCATGTTGGAGTTATCGTCATCGCCATACCTCTATGGCTGATCAGACGAGACGAGTCGAGTCGACAGGATGTTGAGTAGGTCCCAGCGGCACCAAAGTTCATCAAGTTATCAAGTAACACGTTGCGCCATAGAGTTGACGTTGGTTTAGCGCTTGACCGGCTGAGCTCTTGTTCAGGCATCGCCATTCGTCTGGGTTGGTGTCTTGGAGTAGCATCCCTGGTCAAGGTCGTTGTTTTTCCAGAGCGTGCGTGGTTCGGTTTCCAAAGTAGCGGCACCATCGCTTAGCTAGGTACTTTGGTAAAGGTTGAACAGCTTTCTTGTTTCCCTATCAACGTCTCATTCCCGTGACGATCCCAGACAGAGTCCAGGTCGAGTTCGGTTCATTCCTCGAGGTACGACATTGGCATCGTCATGAGCCGCTCTTAGTGGCTGGTGTTTGTTGCACGTACCTCCGAGTACCTCATCTGCCAGTGGCCCGTCAAAAAAACCCGCCGACAGTAGAACGCCAATCGCAGCACTAACCACCGACGACGGAGGTGAGAGGTCAACACGGACCACCTACACCGCCGCCAACCACAAGTATCCATAGGTATTGGGTCCATCAGCCAGATCCAGATCCAGACCCAGTCCGGGATCCAACACCAGCCTCCCGTACTTCTTAGTTCGAATTCTGACTCCAAGGAAAGAAGGGAGCGTGGGAAGGCACCTGCTACATCACCGCCGACCATCTAGTGCCTCTCGGCAGACAATTTTCGCATCGTTTCCAAGGTGAACACCTACAACCTAAGGAAAAGATGCTCTTGTCTTGCTTCCATCGTCATCTTCATCCTCAGATGGGACCCAGCCAATATTGACCATCAGAAATTCAGAACCCACATCTCACCTACCATCCACCGTCCACCCCCGAAGAATATCGCCGCTGACTGGCCTGCGCCGTGCCCGCCTGCCGGATCTTGACCACCCAATCCAGCCTGTTCTCCTTCCCAAGTCCCAAAACCATCCCGCGCCTTCAAACGCAGTGCACCGTCCACTGTTACCTTGCGCAGTGCCTTACCTAAGGTACCTTACTCCATGCAAGCCTCAAGTTCCCTCCCTTGGGCCTGTGAACCGCCAGTGACCTCCCACACGCGCCCGGCTGGTCTAATCCTTCTCGCCTCACCTTGCACACCATCAGATCCATCCAGTCAATCACATCAATCACTCTGCCATACCAAACTTACCTTGGTCTACTACCGCCCAGTAATCAGTCCGTCAGTCTTCGTCTGGTCGCGATGCATCATTGCTTCCATTCTCCATTGGCAACTCTACCCCGGACCCCCAACTCAGAAACTGATGACTCTTTTGCCCTCTTTGCCGCTGTTCAGTAGGTCGTTGCAAGGTAAAGCACGTTGACGCCGAAACTGTTGCAGCCAGGAGCTCCTTGCTGCCCGCGACGCACTGCACTGCAGCGCATCGCATCGCATCGCAGACCGCACACCGGTACGTGCCACCCATATCCCCCCCCCCTCTTTCCCCTCCTTACCAAACCCACGCCTGGCTATCTGTGTACTTCTTTACCGCTCTCTACCGACTAGTTACGTTAGAGAGCGAGGTACCCTACCTTACCTTACCTTACCTAACCAAAGGTACGTTGGTTTTTGGTGCTTCTTGCCTCATCCTCACCTCAACTCACCTCGCACCTCGTACCTCGCCAATCCTTTGCCTTCCGTTGCATTGAATTTGCTTGTTCGTCACTTTGTGCCTGTACTGTGTAGCCGTGCCTTCTCTCTATCCATTATCCAACGTTGGCAATACCCGCCATCTCCTCCCAATCCATAACCAATCTCTTGAAGCCTCCAGTCAGTCATCCTTTGCCTCGACATCATCGGTCACTGCCACGACCGGCCGCTTCCACTGCCACCGCCTTCTTGTCTTTGTTGCCCAAAGTCAACTCACCCAACGTGACAACCTAACATCCCATCCCGTCTCCAGGTTCTCTTCAACACTCTTACTAGCTTGCAGCCGGGGCACCTTCCCACCTCTGACAGCAAAAGTAAGGTAGCCGCCAACCTCGAAACATTGGATACCTGTCCCATCAGCAGTGACTTCTTTGCTGCTCTAATCTGGATCCGTCCAGTACCAATACTGCGTACAGCACACTGGTGACTGTCTACCTGTTAACACCTTATCCTGGTGAGTGTTTTGTCCTGCTTGGTCTCGGCTGTCCTTGGGCTCGCTCCTCTTCTCTTTTCATCCTTCTCCTCCCATCCGGACGGATACTCCTCTCCTCAGACTCCTCTCCCGTCGTCCAACGCTTTCGCTTTCCCTTTCCCACCACCTTCAACACACCCCCGTCGGCTCCCCCCCCCCTTGCCCTGTCCCAAGACCAGACAGACCCCGTACCAAAAGGTACCTACCTAGTTAACTACCTAAGGACCAAGTTACTAAGGTAGCCATTCCGATTCCACCTCAGCACTGCTCTCGGCTCTCCTCACCTTGCCTTGCCTTGCCTTACCTCACCACCTCACCTCATCATACCTTACCTCTCTTTCCCTGGACCTTACGACAACCCTACCGCGCTGCGACTCTAAACCGCCTGCCCAGTGCCAGTGTGCCCAGTGCCCACCCCGACCCCCTCCACTTCCCTTCCCTCAGGTTTCCCAATTGCCCCCATCCCCACTTTCTTTGCCTGAGAAGAAGGTTAGATATACAGGGTACCGTTATCACCCTTCCAGCTTCACCTCCTGCGGCACTAATCCCTTCCGCTGTGTCAAAACATTTCTGACCTCGACTTTTTATGCAGCCATCGGAACCCACCAGAGCTCAGACTCCCCATCTCCAGTCCAGTCGTCTTTTGCTGCTGCCGCGCAGTGTGCCTGCTTCGTTTTCTTCTGCCACCTTACGCCAACTCTGCTCACTTCTGTACGGATACCCAAGTCCCAAACCCTCAACTCACTCTCTCGTACCCTCTGACTCTCTCTCGCCCACCTTGCCTCGCTCTGTATCCGACCCTAACCTTGCCGTCAAACAGAGACTCGTCGTCTAGACCCTCCCGCTCTCGCCTCGTTCCTTCCGCTCTCCTGCTACCTGGAACCTGAATCTCCTCTGCCGCTTTGTCTGTTCGACACGACGCGACACGACACGACGCTTGTCGCCAGCCCAGGCCGCCCCCATCGTACCATACTATACCAAAGCTCTCTATACCACACCCATAATTGCGATCCCTCAGGACCAAACACACATCCGAGCGACCACCGCCTAATCCAAACGCTCGCCAGTTCTCCTTGTCCCTCCAACCTGGTGCCACACTTGACTTTGCAGAATCCCATTTCGGATCGATTTCCAATTCGACGCCGCTTCTCCTAACCTAACCTGCGAACTCTATTCGCATCAACGACTGTCGTGGAATCCAACTACACATCGTTAAGAATATCACAGAAATGGCTCAGCCAGGAGTCCAGTCGTTGAAGGTGCGTTGCGCTTGGCGACATTCATCACCCTGACATCGATAGTGGGAAGGAACGAATCGCTAATGGTGTTGTGATCTTGCAGTGCGTGGTGACAGGTGACGGTGCTGTCGGAAAGGCAAGCTGCTCCCATCATCATACCCCTCGGTATTTCGCGACTAATTCACCTTGTAGACATGCCTGCTTATTTCCTATACAACGAACGCCTTCCCCGGCGAGTACATTCCTACCGTGTAAGCATTCTACATGGCGATTAACGATGGACTCCCGATCTGACCTCAATCTTCTAGCTTCGACAACTACTCGGCGAGTGTGATGGTTGATGGAAAGCCAATCAGCCTGGGACTTTGGGATACTGCTGGTCAGGAAGATTACGACAGACTGCGACCGCTTTCATACCCCCAGACCGACGTCTTCCTCATTTGCTTCTCCATTGTCAGCCCGCCGTCATTTGACAACGTCAAGGCCAAGGTACGGCATCCTGCACCACTGCCACCACCACATGGAGATCAGCACTAATTTGATGCAGTGGTACCCCGAGATCGACCACCATGCGCCAAACATTCCCATCATCCTCGTCGGCACCAAGTTGGACTTGAGAGAGGACCCCAACACCCTCGAGTCCCTCCGCCAAAAGCGCATGGAGCCTGTTTCCTACGATCAGGCTTTGGTTTGCGCCAAGGAGATCAAGGCGCACAAGTACCTGGAGTGCTCTGCCCTGACACAGAGAAATCTGAAGAGCGTTTTCGATGAGGCTATTCGGTCAGGATTCATCAGTGCCAGTGTGCAAGAAGAAATGGCTAACCTGGAATTAGTGCCGTCCTGAACCCCCGCCCGGTCGCTACGCAGAAGAAGAAGTCCAAGTGCACGATTTTGTAAACGCTTTTTACTTGACCTTTAGCGTTGCGGGTTAACATTTGGATTGGCGTTAGGCTGTGTACAACACGCCTAGTTCTCCGCTGCCTTTTCGTCAGGGCTCTCCCATGTTGCACAACCCGGTGCCTCACGCTTATTCAACGAAAAGAGACATTTACTTTCAGAGGCACAACCCCGTTCGAGAGCCCCCAGCCGAGCACAGCCTGCGAAGATCGCAACAACCCCCAAATATCAGATTTTGCCCACCTCCCACACCGGATTTGTGAATGGCACTCGTTGTGTCTCTGGAATCGGCCATGGCAGTTGAGCAAAGTCAGTGCTTTCGTTATTGCTCTTTTGTCTCTTTTTCAGGAGCAAAAGGCAAAGAAGAGAATGACAGACACAAGGGGGCATCGTTGGTAGCAGGCATGCTTTGCAACACAATCACACAAGGATATCCCACGTTTTCTGTAGATAGCACTCACTCTCACAAAGACACTACTTTTTCATGGAGGAATTTAGACACTGGGTCAGGAAGGAATGAGCTTCGTCTTGAGAATTGACTGCCATTGCAAATGCACTTGATTGTTGGATGCGTGAGAACTTAATGTTGCAATACTGTGATGGCTCGTCTATTGGACCCCTGTTTTTTTCTCCATACCACAACTCCTGGTTCTCCAAGACCAGTCCCTGATCCAGAGGTCTGTAGGTATATCCAGATCCAGCTTTTTGTTCAACAGTCGAACACGACCAAATTACACCCCTCCAACATACACGCTCGTCCGTCCGTCTACTGGTACATCATAGCCAAGCGACTGGGGTGGATGCTATCCTGCTGGGAGTTGACCCCGCCCTGCTTGGCCCTCTCCTTCTTGTACTCCTCCTCCTTTTGCATGCGCCTGTGGCGGTTCTCGTCGAGCTGGACGTTGCGCTCCTTGATCTTGTCCTTGCGGAACTTGCTCTTGCCTCCGCCGCCGGCGCTGTGGTGGTTGTTAGTTGGGTGTTTGTATTATGTATTAGGGGTGTAAGGGGGTGGTTTTAGGGGAGGGGTATGATGAGTGTGAGTGTAGAGGTAAGGCTTAGGTTAAGAGGGAAGGGAAGGGTGAAAGGGGACGGATACGGGACGCAAACGTACGAAAGCTCGAGGTTAATCTGGCGCGCGGGCGAGAGGCCGTCGTCGAACGAGGTGTGGTGCATCTTGTCGAGGCAGGTTCGCATGTTGGAGCCGTTGGAGAACTCGAGAAAGGCGATGCCGCGGCAGACGTTGGGGTTGCCGTCCTTGTGGAGGCAGCGGATGGCGCTGGGCTTGTAGGCTGCGAAGTGGGCGTTGATGGAGTCCTTGTTTGCCGTGTAGGGGAGGTTTCCTGGGGGGAGGGCAGTTGGTTAGCTTGGGTTTACTCCGCGTTTGCTGGTTTGAGAGGGGTATGTATGGGTGGTTGTTGGTGGTGATGGTGATGATGGGAGGGCTGTAGGTTGAAACTCACCGACAAAGACAATGTACTTTTCCCTCTTTCCTCCCTCGGCGGTCTCTTCTTCTTGGGCCGCTGGCTCAGCCGCTGCTTCTTCGACGGGTGCTGCCGCAGCCTCGTCCTTTGCCTTCTTCGCCTTCTTTGACTTTTTCTCCTTCTTCTCCGTCTTCTCCTCGGCGGCAGCGGTCTCTACGCCATTGGCCTCGGTCTCAACCTCCTTCTTCTTCTTATCCTTCTTCTCCTTCTTGTCCTTCTTGTCCTTCTTCTCCGTCTTAACATCCAAGTCCTCCTTCTTGCTCTTCTTGACCTTCCTCTCTTGCGCGGGCGGGTCAACGTCCATTGCGTCGGCGTCTGCTGGTGCGTCCTCTACGGCGGCCTCGGCGGCTTTACGCGCTTCCTTTTCCTTGCGCTTGCGTTCCTTCTTTTCGGCCTTTGATTCCTCGAGGGCGATGAATTCTCCGCCTTCTTCGGTTGCGGCTTCTGCGGCGGCGGCGGCAGCCTTCTTTTCTTTCTTTTCCTTCTTCTCCTTCTTGTCCTTCTTTTCGGATTTGGACTTCTTCGTCGAGGACTCGTCTGCAACGGCGGCGGCGGCGTCGGCCGTGGTGGGCTCGGCGCGCTTGCGCTTCTTGGAGAGTTCTGCGGAGGCCATTGTTGCTGCTGTGGTGCCTTGGACTCGAGAGGGGGAGATTTCAATGGGAGATGGGACTCGGGTTCGAGATCGTAGGTGTTGAAGAGAAAAACAAACTGAAGCCCCGTAGCGGTCACCGGACTGTGGAGTAAAACAATGCGGTCAAGAAGGAGGACTTGAACAAAATATTTCCCCTTTGAAAATTGTTGCCCAGAGACTGACTACTCGGGGGACCAAAAAAAGTTTCGGTGTGGGGGCGCGCGCGCGAGCGATAAGGAAGGATAAGGAGCGGCGGGCAGCGATTAGGAAAATTTTATGGGGCTGGCTGGCCGTGCTTGGCAAGTTCTGGCGCCAGACAACCTACGCGCTCACTCGCATACCGGCATAGATGCGGCCGGCTTGTGGGGTACGAACTTCTCGGAGCGCGGGATCTCGGAGAGCAAGAGGAGAAGTACGGGACGCAGGTTTAGATATCGGCGAGGAGGGCGATTCGTTTTCTTCTGGCTCCGCTTGCGTCGTTTCTATGCAGTCGCAATTTGATTTGACTTGCCGACACTTTGGAAAGCCAAGTATCGTGTCTCTTGAAGGTAGGCTGCCAGCTTCGTGATGTTCATGTAAGCCCAGAGGTTACCTCATATCAATCGTACTTCCAAGCTGCTATTGGTATTAACGTCATCTGGATGACTTGGGTTTTCAAATGAGAGCCATGAATCTTTAAAAATAAATGAGATATATCTTCCCTTGTTTGACAGATGGTTATGGATCGCGAGTTCGTGCATGCAAAAACCACGCATGTTGTGAAAGGTATGGTCAACATCATCTGCCTTTCTTCCTTTGCGACGGAAATGAGTGTGTTGGCTGTTTCCCGAGCAAATCGAACACCGATTGACAAGTTAACCGGCAGTATTGTACCGTCATCTGCCAGAGGTCGTAAGAGCATCTACCAAAGCATCGAATGGGTTGCCTCGTGAACATTACAGAGTACCTTACCTTATAGAAAGAAGGACTGTACGCTGCCCTCTCTTCTAGGGTATCTGGCGCAGGTCGACGTGGAATTGATTCGTGACAGCTTAGGAACCTTAGGAGTAGTTACTTAGGCCCCCTTCTTCTCAACGACCACTCGGCCGTTATTCCCCAGTTACGTAGTGAACTGGACAGGCAAAATGACATATATGTCCTCTCTACAAGCTTGGTTTGCGTACATCAGGTAGTGTACTCCCAGGCAAGGCAATGTTTTTGTTTTCTCTTGATGTCGGTCACTCAGTCAGTCTGTCGGCAACTGCACGCCTTTAGGTGCACTCCAGCAGACGAAGCATGCGCACTGTGAGTGCTCCAGTGCGGGCCCAAGCACCTAACGGATCTTTCCCTAGGTGTCACCCAAGGGGCTTGCCTCTCTCGAGCACAGTGCGATACCAAATTTTTCTTCCTCTCAATGCTTACATGAAATTTTTCATACACGGCCAAGTTCTCATATCAACTACACCCCAAATATTCACCGAAACTTGTAAACCACCAAAAAAAGTCTTTACCTGAAAAGACGTCCACCTCACCGGAACTCACTCTATTAAAACCCCTATACTACATCAAGACTTTTTCAGAAAGAAACCCCACACAAACACACAACAATGTCCAACACGAAAAAGAGAGCGGCGCCCAGCCAAGACGGCGGCGAGGGCGGCCAAAAGGCAAAGAAGCAGAAGAAGAAGTCCGCCTACCAGGTCGACGAGACGCTCCTCAACGCCGAGCTGGGCATCAACGAGTCCTTTGCCGTCATGGACAACCAGCTCCTCGCAGACTACACGGCGCAAAAGATTTCTCGCTTCGGTACGGATCTGAGTCCGGTTGAGCTTTCGGATCTGTCCATGTCTGGTGAGTTTTTAGCCACCTCGTCGTTTTCACTTTCCCAATACCTCTTTTTCTCATACATATTATGCTATTCACATAAAGAGAAGAGGAGACTTTGGAGGAAAGAGAGAGAGAGAGAGAAAAATAATGAAAGATTCATACTGATACAAAAACAGCAAACGTCATCAAGGACACCACATCCTGGACGCAACCCCGCGCCCTGGACAAGCTACCCGCCTTCCTCGAGAACTTTGCAGAGCGGCCCGACAGGCTCTTCACGGCGCCCAAGGTCAAGGGCGCGCCGCACACCATCATCGTCGCTGCCGCGGGCTTGAGGGCGGCGGACGTCGTGAGGGCCGTGAGGAAGTTTCAGGGGAAGGAGAGTACTGTTTCCAAGCTGGTGAGTTTTTATCTCTCCTCTTCTCTTCTCTTCTCTTCCCTCGTCTTTTTCAGCTCTGGATTTTCCGTTCAATTTGGATCCCCTCACTCTTTTGTGATTTGAGGATTGAGGGGGTAGAAGGAATGAGAGAGAGCGTCTTTGTTCATACCGGTATTCAGCGGGGGGGCAAAGATGGAAAGAAGGCTAACGTGGGTATGCTCGTAGTTTGCAAAGCATATGAAGGTAGATGAGCAAGTCCAGTTCCTCCAAAAGACACGAACGGGCATCGCGGTCGGAACGCCTGCCAGACTCATGGAGTTGGTAGACAATGGTGAGTATCGCAAACTACTTCTTTCTCTCTTACACTTATAAATCACTGCGGTTATGATCCCTCTCCCAAATAGCCACAACACCAGAGCACAGTAAAACACAGAAAACTAATCATACACAAAAACAGGAGCGCTAAACCTAGATAAACTCCAGCGCCTCGTGGTCGACGCCTCGCACATTGACCAGAAGAAGCGCGGCATCATGGACATGAAGGACACGATGCTCCCGCTGGCGCGGTGGTTGTCGAGGAAGGAGTTCAAGGAGCGGTACGGGGATGAGCAGAAGCCTTTGGATTTGATTTTTTACTAGTCTGGGACGGGAGGCGGCAGAGAGAGGGTGTGATGCTGGTTGCGGGATTGGCAGTCATGCACATATTGTTGGAAACCGAATATGTTCCTCGGCAAGAAGAGTTGAAGCAAAAGCATGGTGAAGCATTTGGGGAGAAGTGTGGGTTTCTTGTTGGAAGCAAAGGACGCAGAGAGACGGATTTGATAGGATTCGGTCTCGGTAGGCCTTGATCTCGGCAGACCTTACCCACCGAGGTCACGATGGCGGGGGGGAAGAGCATCTGATGAAGGGGCATAGAAAAGGCATGCTAGGAGCTTGCTGGTCCCATATCATAGAATAGGCGTGTTAAGACGCGGGTCAAAAAGACAAATCGGAATCTACGGCGACAGCCGGTACTTGTTCAGACGTCACGCCCCGTCCCCTGTGTCCAGTGTCACATTTCTCGGGACGGGTTGACAGGGAATGGGGGATGTGGTTGCTCGTTAGCATCACCTGGGAATGGGTACACCGGCACATCACGGTCGTGGTCTCTGGTCAAGAGGAAGGCATAAAAGGCATTTGACACCGAGCAACTAGCCCCCGGCACTCAACACTTAAAGCCGGGTCTGCCCCAAGTCCGGCATGTCCGGCACGTTGCTTGTTGAAAGACTACTATCGCGGCAAAGAGCTTGAAACGCGGACGTCTGTCATGCCCGTTCTGACATCTACAGTGGACCATGACAAGGTCCTTGGACGAAGTCGGTGGGGTTTGAGAACGGTCTTGTGCGGGCGAGATTGGTGGTTGAGATCCCTCCCGCAGCATTCATGAGAGTTCTGTTCACTTGATAGTCCCCTTGCCTTGTAAAGGGAAGAGTGGTCGATGCATTGGATGGCATCCCCTCCCCCACTTCGTCCATGGAAGACTGCAGAATAGCGCTCATGCATCATGGAATGTCCCTTATGCAATTGCTGGCACTGGATCAGTGACTGGAGGTGATGGTGGTGATATATCACATCCTGATATCACCAAAATCAATGAAGCTTGGCGGTCTGAAGTCAGTCAGATGTTCCCCGCCAAAGTCTAGAAGGTAGGGATCGCCTGCGTAGAGTTAAAGTCGGCTCGGCAAGCGTTTGAGGTGACAATTCGAGCCCACACCTCCGGTACCAGGGGCTTTTTGTGTTTCTGATCCGTCACTTTAAATATAAGTCTAGACTAGACGAACACGGTCGCGGGGAGGGGATTGAATTAGGCGAAGAATGGAATGTCGATGGCCGAGGTGAGTGTTACAATGAAAGGGGGTACATGGCCAAGCAAAACCAAACTAGGGGTTTGGGATGAATGGGACTTGAAGAGGATATCCAGAAGTGGGCGGGTTTGAAGATCTTCTGTCGCAGTTGTCGGACTCGGGATGCCAAGTCGACATCGTGCCGTAGTGTCTGGGACAGGGGACGGCAGGCGTGATACACTTTGTACGAGATCGACGTCGAGGGGACGGTTTTGGGATGACAAGAGGATGGGGACAGGCCGAGACATGGGACGTCCAAGGGGTTGATTTTCAATTGCTGGCAAATCTTTAGTCGGTAGATGGATGTGATTATGCGAAAGGCTACATGTGTGAGTGTGAATAATGGAGGAAGCTGTGTAGCTTGAGTTCTAACAATAAAACATCGTTGAATTGTAAGCGGAACCTGTCGACGCCTCGACAGTTGAAGAGATTGGGAACTCAGAACATTCCATTGTCGAACGTTGAAGGAATCAAACCCTTGGCTAGCTCGAAAGCTTCAGTACGACTATTCGATAGACTTTCCTACGACTGTCGCTGGTTAATAGTGATGGTCGAGCTGGAAGTGACCAGATGAAGATACGAGCACCACGAAGCAGGGCCCGCCCTGGATCGGCGGGCCACTTGAGGCATCTACAAAGCTCAACGTATCCGTATAAAGTGTAATGGTGTTTCCATTTCGTATCCGAGTTGAATTAAACCTGCGCGATGGCTATTTGGTACCCTTTAGCGATGTGTCACTGGGCTGATGTTGCGTTCCGTGGGTCTGAGATGATCTGCTGGTTTGGTGCTTCAGGTTGCCGTGAACTGCTACCTCGTGCCTCGATACCAGAACAAATCGAGAGACATGCTACGTTGGATGGTGACCTTCGTCATTCTTCAACGCTGAGCACGGGTGGGTAGGCACGGCAGGGCAG